GGTTGGCAGCCCCATGGCAGGCGAGCTGCCAAAAACTGCACAGCTCCCTCAGCCCCATACCTTCTCCTGATGAGCAACACTGCCACATACCACAAAATGGAACCCCAGTCTTTCATTTGAAGATAAACTGATGAAAAAAACCAAACCCCAATTGATCCCGAAGGTCAAGAGCTTCAGCAGAGCATCTTTTGATAGGGGAAAAAAAGAAATTAAAAAAAAAAAAAAAAGCATTATCTGGGCTCCCTGAAGAGTGCGGGGTCTGAGTGGGACCAGAACCCTACAAAAAGAGCCTTTGTCTGCAGTGCTCGAGCTGCTGCTAAGGCACGGTGTATCGGCCAGGGCGGCGGGGAAACCATAAACCCAGGGTGATTTCTCATGTTATGTGGGATAAATCACACGTGAACGTTCATTTCCATGAGGAATTCTCTGCCCTCAGTGTAAATAAAGCCTCTGCTGATCCCCAGCTCTTCATTCCACCTGTAATAACATCTCTGGAAATAACATTGCCCCTTTACGTGAACCCGAGGCTGTTTGAAAAGGCGCTATTATGTCCTTGCGGGGTGGTGAGGAGGATGAGGAGGGTGAGGAAGGCTGGCAGGGCTGGGCTGGGGCTGCCCACAGCCCCTCTCTGCCCCTGGCAGGGCTTCGGCTGTGCCAAGGCGCTGTACATCTCGGACACCGACAAGCGCAAACATTTCCGCCTGGTCCTGAAGCTCTTCTTCAGCAACGGGCAGGAGATCGGCACCTTTCACAGCAAGCTCATCAAGGTCATCTCCAAGCCCTCGCAGAAGAAGCAGTCGCTGAAGAACACGGACCGTGCGTACAGGGGTGCCTCTGCAGGGAGGAAAGCGGGCGTGAGCCCAGGGTGGGATGCTCTCCAAGTGCTATGGAGTGGTCCAGGCTGGACCCAAAGCCCATGGGCATCCCCAAAAGAGGGGGGATGTATCTGGGCATCTTGATGTCTCTTTTCTGAAGGGTTCACCCACCACAAGGTGTAATGCCCTGATGCCAACATGCTCCCCACTCTGTGGGCTTCACCTTTGAAGTCTAGTGGTCTAGAAGCACCCTGGGCTAGTGGGAGGTGTCCCTGCCTATGGCAGCGGGGGTGGAACCAGATGATCTCTAAGGTCCCTTCCAACCCAAGCCATTCTATGATTCTATGATTCTGTGAAAACCCCAGCGGAGCTGCCACCCATACAAAGGCAGCCGGGGAGTGCTGGTTCCTGCTGGGCTGGTTACACCGGTCACCAGGACATGTCCTCCCTTGGCTTAACAAAAGCCATAGTCCAAACCACACATGGTCCTGGCAAGCGCTAACAACGGCACCTCTCCCACCAGTCTGCATCTCCTCGGGCTCCAAAGTCTCCCTCTTCAACCGCCTGCGCTCCCAGACCATCAGCACCCGCTACCTCTCTGTGGAGGGGGGAGCCTTCGTCGCCAGCGCCAGGCAGTGGGCAGCCTTCACCCTCCACCTGGGTAAGGAGCCTGAGCGGGGGGCATTGACACCAGCTGTGCCCAGGGATGGCTGCCCCAGCCCTGGCTCTCCCTTCCTGCAAAACCCATTCCTGGGGGCGAAAGGGGGAAGGAGCCTGAGCGGGGGGCATTGACACCAGCTGTGCCCAGGGATGGCTGCCCCAGCCCTGGCTGCCCCAGCCCTGGCTCTCCCCTCCTGCAAAACCCATTCCTGGGGGTAAAAGGGGTGGGAATTAGCTCAGGAATGCAGGAACCTGGCTGAGATCTCACCTCTGCCTGCTGGTCCTGGTTTATCTCTGGAGCCAATGGCTGTTTACCACTGGCCTTGAGGGCTGGCACCATGCCCCAAGAGCACAAAGGCTGTGAACAGGGCAGCAAGAGCTGCACCACTCTGGAGGCTCATGGATCCAAGCAAATAACTTGCCTGGAAGAGGCCAGACCCCCGAGCATCCCAGCCCACGCTGCCTCCCATAGTGTCCTCACGAGGTACCACATCCCAGTCCCGCTGTCCCGTGCTGGGTTCCCAGGGAGCAGTGGTCTCTCCAGGCAGCGAGCGCCTGCAGAGCAGAGAAAGGAGGAAGAAAACAGTGGGAGAACGGCCAGACCTGTACGTATCAAGGCGGCACAGGCTGACCTGCTCCCCGGCTGCGCAGGGTGGTGACGCTGCCTCTCTCCTTCCCGGGCAGCCGATGAGCCCTGCCTGCGGAGTGAGTTCCCCCTGCGGGAAGGGTACATCCGCTATGGCTCCGTGGTCCAGCTCGTCTGCACGGCCAGCGGCATCACCCTGCCTCCCCTGGGAAGCCTCCCTCCCCACGGGGTCAGGCATGCGGACCTGGCCACTCTGAGGGACAGGTCCCATCTCTGGGACGATGCTGCCGCTCCACAGATCATCCGGAAGGTGACAAAGCAGTATGCCATGCTGGACGTGGACGAGCCCATCTCCCAGCTCCACAAATGCGCTTTCCAGTTCCAGGGCAGCGACCGCATGTACCTATGTCTCTCCATGGAGAAGGTGATCCAGTTCCAGGTATGGCAGCACAAGGAAGAGTGGGGACTCCTGGGGTGCTCCCCATCCTCTCTCCAAGCTCCTCTGTGTTGCCACTGTCTGAGGAACATGTCACCAGGAGGGGTCTTCCAGCAAAGGGGAGGGTTCACCCAAATTAAGGTCAGAATGGCTGCAAAGCCAACTGGCTTGCCTGCTTCGGTGGGGACATTGTCATCAAGGTCTTTGCAAAGGATCCCAGTTTCCCAGCGAGTGAAGCAGAGTCACTTGCTGGAACTGGGATACTAGGGGTAGAAGCCAGGTGTCCTGGCCCTGGTCCCCTGCAGTGTGTTTGGAGCTGTGACACTCTCTGCAGGCATCTCCCTGCCCCAAGGAAGCCAACCGGGAGCTGCTGAATGATGGTTCCTGCTGGACCATCATCGGCACCGAGACGGTGGAGTACACCTTCAGCGAGAGCCTGGCCTGTGCCCGCAAGCCCGTCAGCCCCGTGCCGCTCATTGTGTCCCTGCAGGTAGGCATGGTGACAGCCACCCTGGCCTCTCCATCACCTGCCTCCATCCTGGCTCCTGCGGCTGAGCCCTTGCACTCACAGTCAGCGTCCCCTGGTTTTGGGATGCTGTGGGAATTCCAGGGCTGGACAGCTGTGGCAGGGGTAGGACCCACGCGCAGAGCATCCCGTTTCCAGGGCTGGACAGCTGTGGCAGGGGTGGGACCCATGCGCAGAGCATCCCATGGGAGAAGGAGTGTGGCTTGTTCCACCATGTAACACGCTGCCGTGCACTCTGCCCGTAACAGCTCACAGGTGGCGGGGACGTGGCCACGCTGGAGGTGCAGGGGGAGTATTTCCACGCACACCTCAAGGTCTGGTTCGGAGATGTGGAAGCAGAGACGATGTACAGGTAACATGGCCGAGGGGGCCAGGGAGCAGGCAGGGACAGCAGCCAGGTTTGGGCAGCGCTGGGAGGGACATGGCTACTGACCTTGGGGACAGAGGCACGTGCACCGCCTGTTCTGCAGGACCAAGCACCAGCACTGCAGGGAGAGGCAGGGATGAGCCCAGCCGGTGCCTCTGGGCTCTGGAGTCTGGGGTTAGCAGTGGGCAAGGGACATGGGGACCCTAAGGGCTGCAAACCAGCAAGCAGCCCTGGCAGAGAGGAACAGAACAGGGAGGAGAGGGGAAACCGGAGAAGGCTTCACACCAAACTCCAGGCTGGAGGAGATGTGCTGGCACTCACTGCTGGACCCTCCCAGGTTAGTGCATGTTCCTCCTGCACTGTTCCCAGGAGCCCCAAGTCCCTCGTGTGCGTCGTCCCCGACGTCTCTGCCTTTGGCAACGACTGGAGGTGGCTGCGATACCCCATCACGGTCCCGCTCCTGCTGGTCAGGGATGATGGCCTCATCTACTCCAGCTCGTTCACGTTCACCTACACCCCGGAGCAGAGCTTCGTCCCAGGGCAGCAGGTCCTCTCGGACATCCCCCAGGACTCGGACAAGTTACTTGACAGCATCCACCAGGAGTTCACCAGGACCAACTTCCACCTCTTCATGCAGAGTTAGCGACTGGGCGGGCAGCAGCTCAGCCCCGGGGAAGGGGAGCAGCCCTGAGCCTGGCTGGGGTCCCTGTCAAGAGGTCAGGGTGGCCTGACCGAAGGGTTGTCCCTGTGCATCGAATGCCCACCCTTGTCACTGTAGTGTGCTGACTCGTCTCTTCTTCATGGCAGCATCTTGCCCCGCTGAGATCCCACATGAGAGCGTCAATAAATCAGGCTTCAAGGACTCCGTACCGATTCCATTGCTTCTTCACTAACCTTCACGATTTACCTCCCATGCTGGCACAGGGCATCGCAGCTCCCTTGATGTGCTCAGTCCATATATTCGAAGGGCAGGAGGGACAGGGATGATGAACGAACATGACCTGAAGTGTTATTGATCTACATCAGGAATCCCTGCATGGCTTCTCTGCTTCTCAGTGGTGAGGAGCTGGTTTCCAGCAGCCAAATACTCAGTACCAGATAGTTTGGTTTTTTATTAGAGGCCTAAATGGGGTTATTTCAAAAGGAAAAGGGAAAAAGAGAGAAAGAAAAACTTCAGTATGAAACACAGCCCCTTCCTAGCTGCTGTGGCTCTGCTGAGCTCTGTAGGTTTACACCCATACACACCCCCAGAAATTGCAGTGCTGGCACGGGCAGGGAACTGCTGATCTAAAGATGCCATAAAAAGAATCCAGGTTTCTTGGAGCTGGACCCCAGCCTTACGCAGAGTGGGTTTTACAGCTTTATTTAGTTTTCAGATCTCTGTGGCATCAAAAGGCCCATGGTGTACCTGGAAAGCTGCTGGTTTGGCAGTTCTGAGCTGGGGTTTGAAACTGCCAAACCCACGGAGGCGTTTAACCCACACTGACCTGGGGAGCAGCGGGCAGGGGACAGGGACCGTGGTGCCCAGGGCTCGCCACACCCTGGGAATGCCTGGCCCCGTACACGGGCATCCCTGGCTCATCGCCCGACTCGTCACCCGGCTCACCTGTGTCATCCAGCATGTCTTGGACACCAGCACTGCACAGACCGACAGCCCCGGCACGCAGCCCATCTGTGTGCCGTCTGCCACGCTGCAGCTCCGGATGCTGAATTGGGGGCTGTAGGGGACCAATGGCCTCGCACACCCCAGCACAGAGATGCCCAGTGCCTTGGCCTCCTCCCTCTGCAGCTTATGGATGGCCCTGCCTCCCATGGGGGCACAAGAACTTGGGCCTCCAGGGTCCTAACCCAGGGCTCCCCAGGGAAAGCACCTGCCTAAACCCCACCAGGGGACAGGGTCCCTTCTTCCCCAAAACGGGAACCTCACAGAGGGTGAAAAGCTGCTGGCAGATGGAGCTGTGTGCATGTGGAGCTGCAAATGCTGGAGGAAAAACTCAGGGAGAATATGACAGCACACGCCGACAGCCGAGGGCTGGTGGGGGAAAGGGCTGGAGGAGGGAGGAAGGGTGACCGCATGAGGTCCGCAGGGGTTTCAAAACGGAGCAAGCCCCTCGAGCAGGAGCCAGGTCCCATTAGGCGCCAGGAGCAGCAGTACGAGACCTTACTTTAATCAACCTGAATGGAGGATCCCTCATATCTCCCCCCAAAGCATTCTCCCCCCTCCATCTCCTCGGGGAAGAGCTGGAGGGCAGTGGAAGGACGGGGCCAAGCCTTTTCATTTCTGCCAGCATCCCACGCAGCAGTGTCTGGAGCCCGCGGGCTCCTCAACCCGCTCCCCTCCCTCGGAGGCTGGGCCATAATTCACGATTTATGAATGGAAAGCACCCTCGGCTATATTTAGCCACAGCCCGGTCCCGAAGGGCAGGAGAAGCACGGCTTGTTGACTTCAAGGGCTTGGAACAAGCCTGCCTTGTTATGTTTACGGCGCAGCACTTTGCTGGAGTGGCCAAGAAAGCTCCAAGTGGCTCATTCTTGCAGCCTGATGGATTAAGCAAACGGCTGCAGTAATTCAAGCCACATGGGGAAAGAGGAGAGGTGGCAGCAGGAGGGCTGGGGGGGCCTCGAGGGGCTCCTGCCTTCCCCCGACCAGCCACGGGCTGCGTTTAATCTGCTTTTCACAGCAGGTCCCGCAAAGGGAAGTGAGGAGCTCTGCAGCTCCTGGAGGAGGCATTTCCCTGCCACGGGGAACATATGCTGCACGTCGAGGCGGAGGAGCTGGGAGCATCGGCAGAGCTGTTTATTTGCATAATCACTGATTAACACAAATGTCTCGGACAGGTGCCAGCCATCCAGTTGTATGGGCTCGCTCGCAAGCCGGGAGCGCCCGTCTCTGCCAGATCCTGCAATAACCCAGCATGGGTTGGGGAAGCACACACAGACCATCCTGCCGGAGCTGGGCTGCCTGCTCAGGGCTGGGCTGCCCGTCCCAGCCCATCTGCCAGCTCTTTTCTGTGCTCCTGAGCTGTACGTGGAGCTTTTCCCCATCTCCAAGGCAGCCAGAAACATTGGGATAAAATGAAGCATGAAAAAACCTTCACATCATCCAAGAACTGGATTTAGGAAAAGCATCAAATGCTTTAGGGATGCTCAGGATCGCTTACGCTGTGTGTATCTGAGGCATTGCGTGAGCATCCTCGGGCAATGGCGAGGCTCGGAGGCAATGGGGATTCCCTGCTCACACAGGGCCAGGGCACAGCTGGGGCTGCCCAGACCCCCACCGGACCGAGGAGCTGTTTCAGGTTCTGGATGCAAACATGCCTTCAGAAACATCAAGAAGAAAATAAAATCCTGGCTTGCCTGCCCTAAAACAATATCCCAGAGGATCATGAAGTCTGGTTTTGGTCTGTCTCCCATTCTGCCTGCGCTGTGCAGCACCGTCCGACCATTTGGGAGAAGAGTTGCTGCCATCTAGTGAGTCCAGCCACCACCACCTGCCTGCTGGGCACTGCCACGCTCGTCACGCTCGTCACACTGCCCAGAGGCTCGGGTCAGCCTGGGGAGCACCTGAGCATCTTGGTCCATTCCTGGGAGGTATTTTCCGCCCCACTCAGAGGGGTTGGCTGGTTTTTTAAGCAGCCGTTGCATTGTATTTTGCCCCAGACCACATGGCAGGTTTCCTGATGGGTTGGTTGAGTGTTTTCGGGGAGCAGGGGACAGCTGTTGGCACATGGGGGATGTGGGGAAATGTCCCTTCCCTGCTTACCCAGCCCAAATCCAGCCTGGTGACGCTGTTCTTCGCACCGAGGTGGCCAGCAACCACACCTGCAGAAAGCCCAGAAAAACTCAGTTAAAGGGGGGTTTGCATGCCCCTGAGCACGAGGGGTGTGCAGAGAGGGGGTGCTGGCAGGGGGCTGTAAGGAAGGGGGTGTTCTGTACCAGCGAGGTGTTTGCCTTGGCAAGGGCAGCCCAGGGCAGGTCCCTCTGCCATGCTGGGGCTTTGTCACCTCCCTGACACAAGGGCAGCCAGGGC